TTATATCTGGGACTCTCCACCATTTGACCTTAGAACTGAAGAAGCTTCTCGGATGAGAGGTGAAACGTCTTCAAGCAACTTAAAGAAGTCCAGATGCTTTTCTTTGCAAGCTCCTTTGACTACGATGACCTGGATGACTGAGAACCTTCACAGACATGTTGTCTCTTGTTGTTGTCCCTGGCTCTCTTTCTCTCTTCCTCCTGCTATGTTCCTGTGCTACTGCTAGTGTAACTACCACCCCTCCCCCCTCTGCTCAGCGCAAACACAAGGCTCAAGTGTGGCGTGAAGCGAAAAAAGTGAGAGAGTAAGATAAAAAAAAAAAACACACTTCAAAGAGTCGGTTCTAAGAGCTGTTTCATTTTCACCGACACATCGCTATTTTTCTCTCCTTGTAGCTGCTGTTGTGCTCTAAATGCAAAGATTACCTCTTCATTGCCTTGGTCTGCGGATGACATCAATGTTATCGCAGTACAGCAGGTGAGATTTTTCTCATTTTTTTAACAGCTCTAGCTTAGTTTTGTTTCATCTTATGATTTATATTATATTTAAATTACAACCACAGCGGCCCCTGCTGTTTAATTATGAAAGTGCAAGTGTTTTCTGTAATTCCTTAACTTGCTTTAAGAGTGTCTCTTCTGGGCGTTCTTATAAATTATTTTTAAGGGGGGGGGGGTCTATCCATTTGTGAAAAAATCATGGCAAATAAGTCAAAATAACACAGTAATAAAAAAAAGGGTTTAGTTATTATTATTTATTGAGTGAATTATCAAAATGCACTGCAGGAAAATGTGTTCACTTTAGTTTAGTAGTTTTTCAGTAAGTTTTCTAGAGAAGGTTTGAAGCAAGTTTAGATTTGTAAAAATTTACAAATTGAATTTTTAATGAAATTATTTTTGTGGCACAATGAGCTTGGAAATATACATAAAAAGATGGCTTTATACTTTATTTGAAATATTATTTAGATATGCATATGCTTTTTATACTATATAAAAATAGACATATGGATCTGAATTTAGATCAGATCTTTTTTTGATTTATTAATTTTTTTCATATACTTGCATATAGTAGATGATTGAAAGTTTCAGCTTACATAAAATCATTCAGGAAAATTGTGAATATATTCAAATTGTAATGTTTTTGTCATGTATGCAAGTTTTTTTTTTCAGAAGAAGAAAAATTCTTCCCAATTGCCAGTCTTGGTAGCCGGGAATCGGTCCGCCAAGGTCTCCGCTCCTGGCTGCCCCCCGACCCACATAGCACCCAACCCCTATGGTGCCTCCTGCGAGTGGTGGGCCTGCAGGAAGATGGGCCCATGTCCCTTTTTTGGGCTGTGCCCAGCCAGGCCCCATGGACTAATTCCCGGCCACCAGACACTTGCCCTTGGGCACCCTCCATGGGCCTGGCTCCAGGGCGGGGCCCCGGTAACCCTATCCCGGGCAAGGTGAACTGTTCCCTCGATGGTCTTTTTATAGGGATCTTCTGAATCGCTCTTTGTCTGGTCCCTCACCCAGGACCAATTTGCCATGGGAGGCCCTACCAGGGGCAAAATCCCCCAGACAACATAGCCCCTGGGACACACAAACCCCTCCCCCACGATAAGGTAGCAATTCGCGGAGTGGGGGGGGTTCCTCCTGGCTGTGGAACACTGGACCAGCTCTTTACCCTCTCCAGGATACTCGATGGCGCATGGGAGTTTGCCATTCGACCGTGTCCCTCGAGGGGTCCTGTGAGGGGTGCTCCATTGCTATGGGCCATTCAGTCCTTATATGACCATTGCGAGAGCTTTGTCCGTATAGCCGGCAATAAGTCGTACTCGTTCCTGGTGGGAGATGGTCTCCGCCAGGGCTGCCCTTTGTCACCAATTCTGTTCATAACATTTATGGACAGAATTTCTAGGCGTAGCCAAGTGGCGGAAGGCTTCCACTTCTCAGGATCTCATCTCTGCTTTTCGCAGATGATGTGGTCCTGGTTAAGGTTTTCCGGGCATGTCCCACCGGGAGGAGGCCCTGGGGCAGACCCAGGACACGCTGGAGAGATTATATGTCTTGGCTGGCCTGGTAACGCCTTGGTGTTCGCCCAGATAAGCTAAAGGAGGTGGCTGGGGAGAGGAAGGTCTGGGCTTGGGCTGCTCCCCCTGCGACCCGGCCCCGGATAAGCGGAAGAAAATGGATGAATGGATGGAGAAAAATTCTTTTGCAGCTACTGTAATGAACTCAATCAGCTAACTTGGTGAAGTGGTTTAGTTAGTTTGTTAAGTATTAGCTCATTAACTGTTAGCTAACTGTGCTGCTGAGTGAGAATTGCTTTCCTGACATTTCACTAAAGTGGAAACCGGAAATCTAAAAGAAAATTTGAATACTTATAACTCACATTTCAGAGCAAATAAGTGCAGACACATAGGTGGGCCTCGATATGTGACAGGAAATTACCTCACTAATTATGTTTTCATTAGAAGAAATACATTTTAAAAAGTTTAAAAGCTAAATACAAAAAAGCCAATTGACCCATAAGTTTACTGTATGTAAGGTTTCAAAAAAGAAATGAAAGCAAGCCTTTTTTAAAATGGTAAACTTTATGCATAATATCCCAGAGGACCAGACCACAATGTTGATGTCACTTCCACCAGGATCTCAAGCCTCAATGACATTACTGCTGGAAGATGTATTGATGAATTTTCATATCACAAAACGGTGGACAGAGCTACAGACTTTTAAAGTAGATTATAGGGCTTTTCCCTGCAATTCTGGAGAACCTAAAATTCTCTAAAAACTATCTACCATTATTTTAAATTAATTACTTTATTTTTTTTTTTATTACTTTATTATTAAACCACTTTCACCTCCTGACAATATCCTAGTTTAGTGCAGTTTAGCAGCAGTCCATCCCCAGTCCATCCCCAACATATACAGCGTGGGTAGGAAAATGCTTCTGCATTCTGAGTCACCTGAAGATTTGCCAAGCTAAAATCTGGTTCCATGAACTCACCAGGACTTCTCTGAAATACACCTGTAATATATATGGATATGTAGATAATTCTGCCATGAAAGAGAACAGGGATTTACAGCCAAAGAGCGAAGCAGCATCCTTTCCCAACCCCCCCGGAAGGAGCTGTCTGCTAAGATTTAGCTTTAAGATTTAGATTTAGTGAACTGAACAGGCCCTGTGAGCATGAGTGAAACAGTTTAAAAAAGGCTTTTTTTCCTCTTAACTTTTTGCTTTCACACCTCTTTAATCTGATTATTTCCTCTCTCCAAAGGTAGTTAAAAACTCCCTGGCAGCTGTCCCCGAGGAGATTCTCCTAGAGACCTAGAGACCCACAAAATATTGTGAGGCCATCGTGGTTGATGCACCTCTGCAACATCACATGCAAGTCAGGAATATTGGCTTTTGATTGGAAGACTTGAGCAAGTGAAAGGAGAAGGCGATCAGCTTTCTGTTTATCTAATTCCAGGCAAATGGCTCATTTGGTTACAGCTGTCACCAGCTGAGATCATCCAGGCAAAAGTACGGTTATTTCCTTGTTTTGCCTGTTTGAGGAGGAAGATTTTTCCATTGGCTATACATTTTGCATACACATTAGTTTGTAGCCATAAAGTGTAAAAACAACAGCTCTCTGTTTGATTCACAGTCAGCTGAGCTCTTCACTGTAATCCAGATCTGATAACAACTCTCTGAACAGCTCTGCGGACCGGATAGGAAACTGTGAGTGCGACACACTGATAATCCTTTATTTAGAAATGAAATGTACAGCAAACATTGAGTATAATGCTAGCGTAAGACTTTAATGTGATTTTCTAAAGATTCTGATTTATTAGATCAGTTAATGTAATATACTAAATAAATGTTTCTATGACTGTTGCTGGCTTCACAGTGTCCTGAGAGATGATTTACTTGGGAGATGTTTAAGGTCATCACAGAGTAAACAGAAATATCTTGCAAAGTTAACCAATGAATGCAAATTACTTTGTTGAAAAGGTCCTAATGTTTCCAACTTCCCTGTAAGACACAACAGAAAATTTCAGTATTTTGAATGTGCTGTTTATATTACAATGCCTGGAATTCATACAGGTTACCCAAATACCAGCACCAGGACAAACAAGCTTAAACCATTTAGCAGCAGTTTGCAGAATGGGAAATATCCATTGCGGTTCGGCACGTTTCACCTCTTAAGGAAAGCATATTAGAATGCATATATTCCCACATGCATCCAAATGTAAACAACAGACATTAATGAAGCATGGAGGTTCAACCCTCTGTGATCTGTTGTGCACAGAAATCCCTGATTTCTAGTCTGATTTTCTAGTCTTTGGCTTGGAAGGAAATTGGTTTGGAAACATATTTGGCGATGCTTCATCTCCTGCTTTGTGTTTGTGTAGCAGTCCCGTCACAAACCTGTCCATTATGCTAACAGTGTCCAAGAGTTCTTTTTTTTTTCATAACGCGCCTCCCCTGTAATGGCTCTGGGCCCCCCTTAGGGGGCGGGCCCCACACTTTGGGAACCTCTGTTCTAATAGGCGTTTCCTCATTCCAGGTAATTTTCTGGTTTACAAACTGAATCAACTTCCATGTGGGAAAAAACATCAGACAAAAGGCCAGAGAGTGAAAGAGAGGCTGTCTTTGGATGTACAGGTGTTCTCAGTGATTTCTGCCTTTGTAGAGAGACACACACATTCATCATGTCGCTCTCTGTGACAACGTTGGTGCTGCTGATGGTTTGCGGCACTCAGGCTTCACATTTTTTAGGCACAGTCATGACCTACTACCCAAAGGACACTTTTGCAGATGGATCTGTCACAGTACGTACATTTTCTTTCTTAAAATAATGTACTTACTTTTAAAAATCTTACAAGACCTAAGTGAACACTTTGTGGCTGTAAATTTAAAGGTGACTCTTCGGTATAAGTTGAACTTCCACGACTGCACATCTGATACCACATGGAGTTGCCTCAGTGGTGATTGTGGGACTGGAACCTACACACTACATGTGGTAAAACAGGAGAGCAGTGGAGACTGGTGTCAGAGAGAGGGAATCATGACTCGACAGGTTTCCAGCAACGCTCTGTTTGAGCTTTGGTGAGTGTACAACAACAAGAAAAAGTAATTTAAGTGTGACAAAAAAAATTCCCCAAAACATCAGCAGCTGCACTAATCATAATCTTTTTGGTGACTCATAAGTAATAATTTACTAAAACATGTTGTCTTCAGAGTTTGAACTGAACTGAATTTTCTATCAAGGTTGAATAGTGGTAACTGGATATCAAGCATCAATAACATCATATCATGGAGAGCTGTGACTCGGGTGGAACTGAGGAACCGGTCCGACACCGGCAAAGCCAACACATCACCTCAGACCACCATCCTACCAGCTGTGGGGTAAGCCCACTTTATGTGTGTCTATGTTTGCCTAGTTTTCTTTTATAGTTCATATTTTACATTCATCCATTTCATATTAAAATGTATTTAACAAAGTATTTATCACCCGTTCGTTACATTAAAATGAATACAGCAAATAGAGCTACAATCTTTGTTTCTCTCTCAGAGTTCCTTCAAACTGTCAGAGAGATTTCAGCCTGTTGATGTTTGACCCTGATGGAGACGAAGTTAAATGCAGATATGGAAACTCTGCACTCTCAGAGTGTAACCCCTGCACTCCACCGTCTGTCCTCAGCCTCTCATCGGTGAGCAATGATTGTTACTCTCATGTCAGATGAGACAGGCAAAGACTAAAAGCTGGCACAGACAGTCATGCAATAATGTGATGGGAATTTTTTTAATTGAATTACAATTGATCTAAATTTTGTAGAAGTGAAAGTTTGTCCAAAACAAGTGTTGTTTCTACATTTTTATATCCTTGAATTGAATTGCATAACAGAAAACATTTTGGTTATTTTGACTTCAAACCCATTTTTGTCCTCTTGCAGTCGTCTTGTACTCTGTCATTCAGCCCCACCAACAGCAGTAATGAAGGTTCGTATGTAGTACAGCTGGTGATGGAGGACTTCCCCAGACAGACCATCACTCTGACTCAAACCAGCGGGACACAAACAACAATAACTACCAACGATGCCATCAGCAAAATACCGATTCAGTTTGCTTTGAAAGGTACCAATATACGTTTCATTATCTTACAATGAAAGCACTAAAGAACTGCTGATGATGAACTTAGTGCTCGGCCTGATGTACAGAGATGTTTGACCACCAGTGTAATCAAGACTGATTCTCTGGACCAACAAATATTAATCTGTCCAGCAGATATTTGTCATGGCTGTTGCAGATAAGCAGGAATAGTGGACCTGAGAGCTGAACTCGAGGAGGCAAAGTGAACTCAAAACATGCGGCATTATTGTAAGATTGCAGACAGAACAGAAAACTAACTAATCTCGGAAAGCAAAACCAACAGGCAGGCAAGTTGGGTAACAGAACACAGTGTCGTACGAACACAGAGAAGTGGCACCAGGGCAGGCACAGAACAGACACCAAACAAATGGCAAATCTTAATGAAAGACACAAACAGAATAAACAAGAACATAAAATATTATAAATAAACAAAACACAAAGTCATCAGACTCATGACTATGACAAAATTGACCTTGGATCATCTTTGCATCCTGTGAGAATCACCTTAACTTCTCTGTATTCTTCCAGTTGATCCTGCAGTGCCATCCTGCACAGAAGGACTCTTTCTGCCCAAGTTTCTTCCTCCAACACCAGCCAACGGAGCTCAGCTCTACAACAATGTCAGTCAGACTCTGGACATTAACATCACTGCAGAGGCACTTAACTCCATGTAAGTAAAAACGAAAAAAAAAAAAGACTTTGCCTGAAACGGTAAAATATTTATTTCAGGGCAGCCTCTAGGTAGATATAAAATATAGTCCTACAAGTCATGAATCTAATAGAAATGAGTGATGTGCAAATCTAAAATATGTTTCAGGTTATTAAGTTACATATCTGACCAGATCTTTAGTAATAAAAAACTCCAGTGCTGATGTACAAGATTACAGTCAGGTGTCAATTTAGACGACACAGTAAGTGAAACACAGCCAAAACCATACAGATTTAAGGACATAAATACTTAAAGATTAGGTAAAACAACGATAATAAACATTGAAAGTTACCAACAAGAAACATTTCCATCGTTGGTTGGTTTGAGAAAAAAACGTGGCTAGATAAAAGAAACAAAAGAAATGTGCTCCTTTTGCAGACGTGGAGATTTTGGGAAAAGAAAATTTACAAATTTTGGATTTTTTTGTTTGTTGAAGGGTCTCTGAGCTGCTCTACAGCGGGCCGTGCAATTTAATCAGTAGTACATCAGGACCTGGACAGTTCATCCTGAGATGGACACCATCTGAAAGTGAAGATGGACAAACCCTCCCCATCTGTTTTGTTGTCCAGGCAGTTTTCAAGTCAGTCTCATGTTTCATACTCTGTAGAAAGTTATAATATTTTTTATCTTTTGAGATTACAGTTGTTGTCAGAAGGCAACATATAAACCAGGAACCTTCCATGTTTTGAAAACATGCTCGATTAAAATACAAAGTGTCCTTGGTTAAGTAACTTGAAGTTGTCATGTGATTGAAGGGCTATATAATGAAACATTAAACTTTATCATGATTTGCCTTGGCATCGCTCAATCACGTTATTTTCTAAAAAGGCTTTAAGTCATTTTTTTGGTCATATTTGTTGTGTTTTGATCAAATTGATCACATTTACCTTGAAAACATTTTGGCTTCGCTGATCTTTTACACAACCATTTTTACTGAAATAATTACATTCACTTCTCAAGAGCAGTGTTTACCAAACCATCAGATTTCCATTTATTGTTAACTTTTCTTTTTGAGTGCAGTGTGTCTGTGTGAATTTTGTCTTGTGATCTAACCATCATCATCAGAATCCCTTAAGGAGTGTTGAACAGGTATATTTGAAAAAGAAAATTGCACTTATTTCTGCAGTGGGACCAAGTATCACTCCGAGCTTCGATGTGTCACTGTGACTGTTGCAAACGGTGAGTAGAGCCCTTCACCATTTCAGCCACATTTAAATCTAATTTACTGGATCAGTGTAACTGAGCTGGACTGGTCATGCAACACAGAGCACCTGTATAAAAAAGCCCAAAGCCGACTGTACTTCCTCAGGAGGCTGAGGTCTTTTAACATCTGCAGGAAGCTCCTGAGGATGTTTTACCAGTCGGTGGTTGCTGGAGTACTTTTCTATGCTGTGGTGTGCTGGGGGAGCAGCACAGCAAAGAAGGACTCATCCAGGCTGGAGAAACTGATCAGGAAGGCTAGCTCTGTGGTCGGCATGAAGCTGGACACTCTGGTGACAGTGGCAGAGAAAAGGACATTAAAGAAACTGATGGACATTATGGACAATGCCAGGCATCCTCTGCACACGGCCATAAACAACCAGAAGAGTCTGTTCAGTGACAGGTTGCTTCTCCCAAAGACAAGAACTAACAGACTTAAAAACTCCTTTGTCCCACACGCCATCAGACTGTTTAACTCCTCTCTGGAGGGGAGAGGGAGGGGAAACAGGAGGACAAAGGAGGGGGGAACAACTAAGCTGTAGTGCCTCTTCACCTCACTGTGCAATACCTTTTGTTAATAGTCAACAGTGCAATAGACTCAATACTTGAAATGTGCAATTCACTTGTATTTTTATTCCTATTTATTCTATTTATCCCCTTCGTATATTTTATTTATATTGTCTCTGTATTTATATATATGTGTGTGTGTGTGTGTGTGTGTGTGTGTGTGTGTGTGTGTGTGTTATATATATATATATATAATATTCTGTAACTCTGTAACTTCTGTCGGTGCTGTGCTTTTTTGAAATCAACTTTCCACAGAAGGAACCCACACGAGGGATTAATAAAGTTCTATCTTATCTTATCTTATCTTATTCTCTCTCTCTTATAACCTCTAATTGGTTGTTCATAGGACCAATAATAACCACAACAACTACCACCAACTCAACTCTGTACCTCAACAACTACCTACCAGTACTCCAACTACTCGACCTGCAACAACTACTACCAGTACTACAACTACTCACCTCAACAACTACTACCAGTACTACAACTACTGTACCTACAACAACTACTCCAGACTCACTAGTACCTACAACTACTACCACAGTACTACAACTACTCCAACTAACACTACTACCAGTACTACAACTACTGTACCTTACAACAACTACCACCAGTACTACAACTACTCCAACTACAACAACTACTACCAGTACTACAACTACTGACCTACAACAACTACCACCAGTACTACAACTACTCACAACTACAACAACTACTACCAGTACTACAACTACTGTACCTACAACAACTACCACGTACTACAACTACTCCAACTACAACAACTACTACCAGTACTACAACTACTCCAACTACAACAACTACCTACTCAACTACTCAACCAACATACTAGTAACACTACTAACTACTACCACTACTACAACTACTACAACTACTACAGTACTACAACTACTGTACCTACAACAACTACTACCAGTACTACAACACTACAACACTACACCAGTACTACAACTACTCCAACTACAACAACTACCACCAGTACTCCAATTACTACACCTACATCAACTACACCCAGTAAACCATCATGTGAGTATGAATGAAATGAGGTGATGTTTACTTAGCTACTTTGTCTTAGTGCAGGATATATTACTCTCACTTTAGTTCATGTCTATTAATTGCTGGTCACATCAAAACAGTAAAATTTCATAATAATAATGGACTGCATTTATATAGCGCTTTTCGAGACTCTCAAAGCGCTTTACAATTCCACTATTCATTCACTCTCACATTCACACACTGGTGGAGGCAAGCTACAGTTGTAGCCACAGCTGCCCTGGGGCAGACTGACAGATGCGACGCTGCCATATCGCACCATCAGCCCCTCTGGCCAACACCAGTAGGTGGTAGGTGAAGTGTCTTGCCCAAGGACACAACAACCGAGACTGTCCAAGCCGGGGCTCAAACCGGCAACCTTCCGATTACAAGACGAACTGCCAACTCTTGAGCCACGATCGCCCCAAATGTGATCATATCAGTTTTATATCACTTTATTTTACACTACATAATACTCTCAATTCACAAGTTGCAAAATACTTGGTTTTAAAGTATGCTGAGTGAATTGACTAACTGCATACAAAATCAAAAGTCCAAAATAAAGGCTTGCACTAATTACAGGTGATTTTCACCAGGTCACAAAACACAGGGGTTTTATCTACAATCAGGCTACGTTCACACGTACACGGGTATTTTGGAAAACAGAGATTTTCCGTTTTCGTTTTAAAAAATAATCCCGTCCACACCTAAATGCAAAAATGAAGGAAAACGCTGCTAGGAACATGCCAAAGGAGCAGGTGGCGACATATTACTAACCGTGTAGAAATGTTGGCCAATCAGAAGTCTAGAAGCCTCTGATAGGTTTGTAGCTTGAACCTATTCGCTGGAACGACAATATAATTACACAGCAAGCAAGACACGAAGTAGGCAAAGTTCTTTATGTTTCTCGTGCACGGGAGAGAACCGGACAAACGCCGTTCCTTCGCTTGACCCCAGTTGCTCTCGTCTGCTCCCCTGTAACACTGCTCTTTTATTGAGGTTACATGAATATACATAGGTTCATTAACATATGACGTCTACATACAAACAAAGAGTACCTTGCCTGTGCATTGTGTAAGTATGTGTGTGTGTGTGAGTGTGTGTGTTGGGTCAGAGTGTGACCCCATAAATGACTTCCCTAACCCTGCTGATCTGAAAGTCCAGCAGTTCATCTAAACAAAAGGCACTTAGACTAAAAGAGATTTAGATACGTTTATCCTACCATAAAACAATAAGAGAAGGTACGACCTCTCCCATGCTCCCAGGATGTAGGTGTGAATGCCAGAACACTCTGGAATGCACACAAAGTCTTTGAAGACTATTAAGGATCACACATCCTATCACTACACAATCGATTATACACCTCTAAGCATATATGGTTGAATATTTCTAAGCATAAATGACAATCAACAATACAAATCTATCAGCCTCGGTGGGAAATAGTAAACAAAGATGGCGCATAGAAGCAGAACCGAGTCCTATGTGTGGAGGGACAGTAACTGTGTGTGTATATGTAAGCATTTAAACACTGCAGAGAGTACAATTAACAGTAACAGTATTTTGTCTAAGTCCGCCACTGTAGAAATTTATTTCACAGAAACAATAACGTGGAGCACAGTGTGACGTCAAAAAGGCGCACACCTTTGATGCTGTGTTTTCTCCGTTTTCCTCGTCCACAGGTAAATGCAAAAACTGAGTTTTCAAAAAAATCCACCCTGGCAGGTGTTTTTAAAAATCCCCATTTTCGGTGACTGAAAACGTCGTTTACGTGTGGACAGAAGGTGCAAACGCATAGAAAAATCTCAGTTTTCAAAAATACCTGGGTACGTGTGGACATAGCCTCAACAGTGTGATCTACTGACTAATCTCAAGATCAGCAAAGTAAGAAATATACAATCACAATCAAAATGCCAGCAGGAAGTAAGTACATTATTAAGTAAAGCAAACTAAGCCTTCGTGGATAAACACAGGGCTCGTACCAAAACACAAAACAGAAAAAAATTTATTTGGTCTGAATTAAAAGATTATCAACAGAGTTGATGTCACTTGGAAACTTTGATGAATGCAACTACTTGCTGTAATTGTAGCTCAGCACTGAATAGAGTTCAGTGATTTCTAATGGATTCTAAAGTGTCTTTGTGTTTCTAGATGTTACAGTTCTCAAATTGAAGATGACCTCTTTGGTGGACTTGTCTAAAATTGATAGAGATACATTCCTTACACAGGTAAGTAAATGCTTACTTGAAGTCACTCATCCAAGTGACTCCTTCAGCCTCAGCTGACTGCAGTTTCCCCAATCTTATAAACATGCCATTGACTGAAACCAGCCCAATGAATTGACAGTGTGGTGTGAGGTCAGTTTCTTGATCAATAATATGCCACAGGATAAATAATTGCTGTGACCCCTGATCAACAACCACTGATTCAATGGCCATGAGTACCATTCACAGAGAGTTGGAGCATTATACAGCATTTAAGATGTACCCTTAGGCCCCTTCCTGGATTCAGAGATGGCACTCCTTCACTCCTTGCACAAAGCGTTCCTCCCTGTCCTGTTCACTCATCTAAGTGACTGCAGAAGTTTTGGTTTTGTTTTTGCTCACAGGCTTTCGAGCCTTTTTCCTTATAAAACACAGTTTTTAACGTTTCTTCCCGCAGTAAATATAAACAACGATAGTATTCAGGAAGAAAACCAAACATCGCAGATTTTTATCATAACTCTGGTTTTATGTGGCCGATCAACACAATTTAAAAACTGGTATAAAGTCCACACTTTTTCCGTCAATTGTTCCATCTGTCCTGCTCACATCTCCAATGGTTGTACACGTTGTCATTAACGTGGCTTCACTTCACATCAGCCACGCCGCTTTGCTAGCTAAAACACCGGTGTCGGCACATAAGGACGCTGTCACAGCCTGTCGACGACGTTGATTAGCTGCGTATATACGAATGTGAATCGCTTCAGTGGCTGGACTATGGGATAAGGTGGCATTCTTCTAATCCCATACTGGAGCAGCCAGTCACTGACTAACACTGCAAAACAGGATTGTTAACATATTTACTTTAATTTCAATTTAGGTTTGATTTTTTTTTTTTTGTGCGCAATACAGATATTTTCTGCGCAGAGACCAGCAGTGCGCAATTGCGCACGCGCGCAGCTTAGAGGGAACATTGCATAACAACTTCATGACATGAACCTCCATGTGCACATCGCTGATGTTAATGCCAGAGACCTTTACCCACTATGTGCCTTTGGAATTTAGAAAACCTGCTCTGTGATTTTATGTGGTCTGCCACTTTGTGACTGAGTTGCTGTGATTCTTAAACGCCTGAACTCTGTAATGATGCCACTTACAGTTAATCATGGAATATGTATGAGGAAGAAATTTCACAAATTAATGTTTTGCAACACACACATCCCATTATAGACAGTGTGAGTGTGTAGAGTAGCTCACTGTAATCGTCATGGCTGTGTGCAGGCAGGCAGAGAGGACCCAAAATGCTGGACTTACGGAGGCTTACATAACTCAAAATACTCAGCTTTATTGCTGGAAAGCAACTGAGCAAAAAATTAACTAAACTGAGACTACAGAACAAACTAAACAAGCAGGCAGGCTGGGAAACAGAACACACAGTGAAAGTGAGGGTACGACAGGACAACGAGCAGGGGAAGATGCAGACACTAAATACAAAAGGTGAAGCGAGCTAAGAGGAGACACGGCTGACGCTGATTACACTGACAGGGAGAGCACAAAGCTGAACGCACTGACATAAGGCACTGACCTACAAAGTAAAACAGGAAGTACACGACAGACACAGAGCTCCAGACGAGACATAGAATGGTCAATGGTCAATGGTCAATCAATGGTCAATGGTAACTTTATTGTCCCTGATGGGAAATTGATTCGCAGTATGTCAAAACAAACAACAACCATACAACCAACACATCACGTACACTCATTAAAAAAATACTATAATATAATATAAGCCTGCTAAAACAACCTAGATATTCCATCGAAAAAAGTGCAATGTGCAATGGCAACAACACTTACAATTTAGTGTTGTTAATTAAGATAATACTTAACATACACAGTCTCATGAGCAGACATAATAACATCATGGACAGACAGAGGGAACACAAAAAAGTGGGACCAGGGCAGGCACAGAACAGGAACTTAACAAATGGCGAATCTTAATGGAAAACACAATCAGAATAAACAAGATCATAATAAAGAAGCACTGAGTCACCAGACTCAGGACAACGACAGTAATAATTTCCATAAAGAGCTAGGACACAAGTAAAAATACACAACCAAACTCAGCTGTGAAACTATTGCATATAAGATTGCTAACACAATTTGTAAGAATCAGTTTTCTTTGGACACAGCATTTGTCTGGTTGAGCAGTGTCTACATGATCCCACTTTGAGTAATAACTGTATGGGGCCATACTATAAACATCCTGATTTTCTTCACAGTGTTCACACATGATAGATATACACAACCACACAAGTACATACTTCAACATAAATTTTTTTCCTGTGAGCACAGTTTTGTAAAACCTGTGCTGCTTCTTTCTAAAGAAGTCTCACATCTTAAAAAAAGGGAAAATGATCATATCTCTCTCTTCTTTTTTCCCCCTTTAGATAAAAAATGCACTGATATCCAAAGGGCTGCCCCAACAGACGGTCATCCGACTCATAAACAGCAAACCAGAGATTGGTGCAACTGGCACAACATAAACATTTGACAGCTTCGAGAGCTTTTTCCTTTCAGCTGTTGAATGAAGTTTTGTCTTCACTGTTCTTTAACACACATTTTTAATAATTACAATCACTTCTCAAGAGCAGCCTTTAAAAGCAACACATTAGTCTGACTCTCCAGTGCTATAATCTGAAATGAATTAATTTGTACTTTTGTTAGATTGTGAAGATTAAATGTTATTTTGCACTGAGTATCCTTAGTCTAGCACAGATACACTGATTGATTATCCACAGTGACGGGAATAACGGCGTTGCAAGTGACGGCGTTACTTTTTTCAGTAACAAGTAATCTAACTAATTACTATTCCTATCGTACAACGCCATTACTGTTACTAACAAGAAAATGCAGTGCGGTCACGTTAGTATTTTTCAACAGACGGTTGAAGCTGCGTTCAGCTTAACACACGGAAGTAGTTGTCTACGTAAATAATCATGGTGCTACAGCTTTAAGCAGCTGCGCGCCTTGTGTAGTTAGTGTGTAGTGTTGTGGATAGTTTTGTGTTGTGTGTCAAAACAATGAGGTGACTGCTGTCTCCCGGTGTCAGGCTGTGATGTTCTCCTTTATAGGGGACAGAAATATTTGGAATGGCACAAATAATTTGTGTGGCATCTTATTGAATAAAGAACAGCTGATTGTTCTGTAAATAGTTTGAAATGGTTATTTTAAAAAAAGTGTAGAAAGTAAATGGCTGCAAATAACTTTATTCTTTGCAAAACTTGTGCATATGATTTTAAAATTGACAATTTACATTTGCATTTAAAGTTATGAAATATGATTCAATAAACATGTTTGTGGTTGTTACAGTAAAAAATATAACTTTTTCTATTTGGATGTTTTTTGTCTGATTTTAGATCAGTTGTGTTAATACATAATAATAATCAAAATGAAAACATAACTGTAAATTCAGACACGTGAGGTTGTGCTGAAAAGGATGATACCAGATAAGGCAAAGTAAATAGTTTTTAAAGGTGAAATGTGGAGGGAAAATCAAAAGCAGTTAAAAATGGACCCCATATGGTTAAACATTTTTTTAAAGTAACGCAATAGTTACTTTTCAAGTAATTAATTACTTTTAGAATCTTCTAACTCAGTTACTAACTCAGTTACTCTTTTGAAGAAGTAACTAGTAACTATAATTAATTACTTTTTCGAAGTAACTTGCCCAACACTGCTTATCCACAACTAGAAAACACAAGGAACAGCTCAGATAAAATAATTATAGTGGAAGATTTTAAGATTCATGTAGATGCTGAAAACAACGGACTCACTAGATGTCTTTCTGAAAGTGCTTCCTCCCTTGTGTTACAGCAGACCATTTGGGGTGTTTGAGGTGTGGACCTAAATGTAGACACAGGAGAGAGAGAGTAAGGTTTAAACAAAAGGCAAGCCTTTATTAATGCTGATATCATTAACAGAAAACAAGGCAAAGCGAGCTAGGGGAAAAAACTAAACTAAGACCTAAATTGAAACTAGTTTAACTATGAACACTGTAAAAACATGAACATGAATCTGAACAGGTGCATGAACCTGAACAGAAGTATAAAATAAACCTGAGGATTAGAGAGACATGGCACAAGACAAAAATGCAACCCAACACTGACCAGAGGAAGACAGAGAACATAAAGACACAGAAGGGTAATTAGGGAAGACGAAATACCTGGGGAAACACAGCTGACACAAATGAACCTGAACACTACAGGGGAAGTACAACTAAACACACTGAACATGGAACACCAGACCCTTCAAAGTAAAGCAGGAAAGATAACTGAACATAGACAAGCTAGCTTGATAGCTAAAGATAGCTAAACTCTGATAAAACAGAAACTTTAATTATTGTTCCCGACCATATGATGTCAGAAATTAGGCAGCATATCAGCTTCTTAGAGCCTTCTGTAAAATCGAACAGTAGAACCCTCTGTGTCAAATTTGACAACTCAAAACTGGATTATAGATGGCAGAGAGTTGGCGTCATAAACCACCGCCTCTGTTCAAAACACAGACTTAACAACATGGTGTATGCTGTACAGTGCAGCGAGGAATGCCCAGACCTCTACATTGGAGAGACCAAACAGCCACTTCACAAGCGCATGGCACAACATAGAAGAGCCACCTCCACAGGACAAGACTCAGCTGTCCATCTGCATTCCTCGCTGCACTGTACAGCATACACCACATTGTTAAGTTTGTGTTTAGGAGTTTTGTCTTTCGGGTGAACCAGTTTTTGTCTGAGCGTGTTGCTGGGTCTGAAATACACCAGGATTTCATGCTTTGAGAAAACTCTCCTGAGTTTTTCTGATACACAGGGGATACATAGGGGATGACAATGTTGTTGCGTCGCTCCCACTAGGTTTATATCTGGGACTCTCCACCATTTGACCTCAGAATTGAAGAAGCTTCTCGGATGAGAGGTGAAACGTCTTCAAGCAACTTAGTCCCAACGCTTTTCTTTGCAAGCTCCTTTGACTACGATGACCTGGATGACTGAGAACCTTCACAGACATAAGTCACAGAAACACATTCAGTTATCAGTTTCTCTTGTGGTGCTGGGTTTGTAGCCACATTTTGCATTTTGAACCTCGGTCTCTGTTGCTGGTGTGTGCGTCACATTTATAAACAGCTCATTGTGTCAGTGGCTTAACAGCATTCTGCAATTCAGAGAAGCGTCATATCTGCAATTTTCATGAGTATTTAATGCAAATGATATTTGAGGAAGCAAAGTGCACTTCATGTAGCAACACTATCCTGGCACTGTTCACTGCTTGCTGTGACAAGAACAGTAGCTGGGCTAAGCATTGTACAGTGATGTTAGGATATTCTCTGTACTGTCCTGTAAAGGCTGAAGTAGCCAAAAATAAAAGTAAAATTATATTTAAAAAAGACAGCATGTAAATTAAATTTTCTTCTGCAATTAAGCTGTTGTATTATGAGTATCTAACAGCATCTGTATGTAGCCTGTTGTTTTTAGTTTATAACTCAATTTCCACTCATTCATTTTCTTGACTGCTTATCTAATTCAAGACAAATGGATCATCTGGTCACAGCTTTCACCAGGTGAGATCATCCAGACATCTATAATGTTTGATTTAAAGTTGGTTATTTTCTTGTTTGGTCTGTTGCACTTGATGAGGAAGACATTTTCATTTTTTATTGGCTACACGTTTTGCATGTAGATTAATTTTCAGCCAGACAGTGTAAATATAGCAGCTCTGTATTATTTACCATCAGCTCAGCTCTTCACTGACAATAGCTCTCTGAACAGCTCTCCAGACCGGACAGCAAACTTAGTGAGTACAACATGCTCATAATCCTTTATTTAGAAATGAAATTCACAGCAAATATTGAGCATAATGTTCCCCGAGCTTAAGACTGTAATGTGACCTGATTCTACTTTACTGGATCAGTTAATCTAACATAGATCAATTTTTCTAAAACTGTAGCAGGACCGTTATGCCTCACTGTGTCTTGAGAGTTATTAGTGAGAGATAATTTACTTAGAAGATCTTTAAGTTAATCACATAGTAAACAGAAATATGTTGTAAAGTTAATTTGTAAATACAAATTATTTTTTGAAATGGTACTAATGTTTCGAACTTTCCTGTAAGAAACAACAGGAAATTTCAGTATTTTGAAAATGCTGTTTATAACAATGCCTGAAATTTAGAGAGGAGACCACAATACCAGCTGCAGGAGAAAAAACAAGCTCATAATACATGGCTACACAGTAAAACTGCATTGTGAGCTTTTTTGTAAAATAGCATTTTACAGTTGTCAGAGCCCCTGTCCTCCCTAATAAAGGGGGTGATGCAGTACTCTCATCATTTAAGATGAGCCCTGTTCTCTGCTTTAAGATAACCACTCATGTTATCAGAGATGTTATCAGGGTTATAGAATAGAATAAAGTCAAGTCCTCTTCGACACATTCATTTTTCCATCTCCCGATGGGGATATACAGACTCTCATATTGCCAGAAAAGCTCTGGTATCTTAGCAGGTTTCCTGTGGACCCATCCTCAAGATAGTATGGGCTAAAGATGGTACAGTAATTTCCTTTAGGACTTGAGTGGGACCCTAAAATCCCGTGTGAACTGGGTTCACTATTTGTGTAGTGAGAGTTTGTGAATATTTTTTACAATGGAATTTTATTTATTTAATGTCAAATGACAACAACAGTCACTTCAGGGAACTTAATGTAAGGTAAAGACAGTACTACATGTAAACTCCAACAAGTAGATGACCCGCTGTGAGCAAGCACTTTGGCAAAAGTGGGAAGGGGAAACTCTCTTTTAACAACAAGAAACCTCTGGCAGAAGGTTGGAAAAAGAAAATAGTGGCTGGATAAGCTACTGCTCAGTACTGAGCAGAGGCTTTTCATTGCTCTATTGATAGTTCCCACATGCTTTGCATTTAATCTCTCACCCTGTAGGCTGTTTTCCCAGTTTCTGCGCAAAAGACCAAAAAAGCTAGCATCAGGAATCACTGAGTAGAAGCAGAAACACTTCTGACAATGTATTTTGTGGTATGAGGAATAATACGATTAATACCATTCAACTTCTCATCAGAACAGTTTCAGATATAATTTCAGAGATAATGTGTATTGTCTGTGAAATCGACCATCTATACTAAATGATTTGTGATGAACTGGTGGCAACCTGTTAATATTTTATGTTTAAATTGTCTGTTTTTGTTTTGCTGATTATATCATTATTAACTTTTCATTCATTTGAAAGCCTGATGCTTAGCCTTGTCCACCCCAGCTGTAAAACTCAGAAACCTGTCTTACTTGTTATCATCTATCGTCCACCTGGGCCTTACACAGAGTTTCTGTCATGGTCCTGAGTCTGAGGACTCAGTGTTTTGTGTTTCCTTATGCTTTTGTTCATTTCAAATGTGTATTCTGTTGTGATTTTTGCCATTTGTTAGGTTTCTGTTCCTTGCCTGCCTGCTCCCACTTCTCTGTGTTCCCTCTGTCTGTCCATGGTGTTATTGTGTCTGCTCATGAGTCTGCCTGTCAAGTTCAGTGTCCTGTCTGGTTCTCTGTGTCTGTTAGTTTCCTGTTTTATTCTGAAAGTTCATGTCTCATGTCAGTGTGTTCAGTTTTACCTCTCCCCTGTCTCGTTAGTCTAATTTCTCCCAGCTGTGTCCCCCTTCTGTCTCTAATTCCTTGATGACTCCCTCAGTGTATTTAAGCCCAGTGTGTCTTTGTGTCAGCGTCTGCGTTAACGTCTGTTCACCCTCACTTGCTGCGTGTTTAGGATTTCCAGTCCTCCTGCATCTCTGTTTAGAGTTTTGTTTGCTTTTGTGAGTTTTATTTTATCTTGATGTTCTGCTCCAGCAATAAAGCTGCATTTTCTGTTTAAACCTCGTGTCCTGAGAATCCTGCATTTTGGGTCCACCACTCCTGCCTGCCTGCCACACAGCCGACCATGACAGTTTCGGTCTGATTTCTCAGACTTTTTATCTGATTTAGTGCTCAACTCAGATAAAATAATTATTGTAGGTGTTCTCTGCAAAGCCAGAAC